GTGGCCAGAGGGAGGTTTTCGGAGCCTCAGTAAGGCCACGCCACGTCCCTGCACTGAGCTTTCTTTTTTTTTTTTTGAGTTGGAGTCTCGCTCTGTCCCCCAGACTGGAGTGCAGTGACCGCTCCCGGCCACCGCAGCCTCGACCTGCTGGGCTCCGGCGATCCTTCCGCCTCAGCCTTCCAAGTAGCTGGAATTACAGGCATGCGCTACCACGCCCGGCTGATATTTGATTTATTGTAGAGATGAGGTCTCGCTGCCCAGGCGGGTCTCGAACCCTCAGGCTCAGGCAATCCACTCACCTCAGCCTCCCAAAGTTGCGGGATTACAGGCTGAGCCACCGAGCCCGGCTGCACTGAGCTTTCTCCCGCTCTCTCTTCTCTTTTTGCTTCTTAGATTGGGCATCTCCCTTTATTGCCCAGACCTGGAGTGCCATGGTGTGATTATAGCTCACTACAGCCTCACACTCCCGGGCTCAAGTGAGCCTCCTGCCTCAGCCTCCTGAGTAGCTGAGACTATAGGTGCCACCACCACACCTGGCTAATTTTTTTTTTTTTTTGTAGAGATGGGGTCCTGCTGTGTTGCCCAGGCTGGCCTCGAACTGCTGGCCTCAGCGATGCTCCCAGCTTGGCCTCCCGAAGCAATGGGATTACAGGCGTGAGCTACCATGCCCAGCCCCGCTTTCCTCTTGAATAAAATCTAACCTGCAATTCCTTCCGCGGACTGTACCACGGACTTCTCTTCTGTCATGCCATCTCCTGCTCTCTCTCTGTCTTGCTCTTTCCAGCCACGGTGGCCTCCTCATAGTTCCTTGGCACGTGCCTGCCTCAGGGCTTTTGCACTTGCTTCCCGCTGTGTCCATCACTCTTCCTTTAGATATGCACGTGAATCCATCCGTGCATCCATCCATCCATCTGTCCATCCCTTTGCCCCGTGTTCGCCGAGCGCCTCTTCTCTGTCAGGCATTGTGCCAGGGAGAGGTAGACAGCCACAGTGGGACGGCTGGAGGAGACAGATGGCGAACAGCCAGTAAACAGAAAGGGAGTGTAATGGGGGCGCGGTGTCAGGGAGGGAAGGCTTCCTGGAGCAGGTGGCATTGGAAGCTGGGATCTGATGAGGAGGTTGAGCAGTTCAGGGGAAGATGGAGGGAACAGTGTGTGGCCCCAGGGAAGGGAGGAGTGTGATGAGAGTGGATGGACTGGGCCCCAGGCAAGAGGCCCTGGGCCCTGGGCCCTGTGAACCCGTCCCGGAGCAGGGGATTGGCTCTGTGGGGTGACAGGTGGGAGCGGGAGTGCCAGGACAGGAAGCGGCAGAATGAGGAGGGTGGAGCCAGAGCCTGGCCGAGCGCGGGGGTGAGGTGGGAGGGATGTCACGTGTCTTCAGCTGGCACAAGACCAGCTGGCTTTGCAGGGAGCGGCCCAGGGCTCCGGCCCAGTGGCCCTGGGTGGCCAGTGCTCCAGGGCGGGGCCAGCAGACGGGTGGCACCTGGATGGGAAACCCCCGCGAGAGCGTGGGCAGTGACGGCCGGGGTGGGGCGGACAGAGGGCTTGGGACCCAGCCTGGGTGGTGACACTCCCAGCACCCACCTCTTCTGAGTGCGCCTGTCCAAAGCCTGACCCAGACTCCGGGACCACCTGGGAGGACTCTGGGGATTTTGCAGGCCCAGCCGCCGCCTCCCCTGGGGAAAGACGCTCGAACACATCCTTAGTTTCCCAGCACGGCTGCGGGGTTCTGGGGCGCCCCTCCATGCCTCAGCCCTGCCAGTTTCCCCATAGGGACCACGAGCGGGGCTCCTTCTAGCTTTTCGACTCGGTGGCCCCGCTTGAGGGACACGGGGCGGGCCCCCCTTTGATACGGGAGCCTCGTGAACGTGGGAGGCAAGGGGTGCCTTGATGGGCCTGGCCCCAGACCACGGGTGGCATTGTGTATCCCCTCTCTGCCCCTCCCTCACCTACCGCTGTGGACTGCACGTGGGTTTGGCTGAGGTGTCCAGTCAGCGCCTCTGCCTGCCGTGACCTGGTGACAGGGCTTAGCAGGACGCCAGGGGAGGGCATCTTGGCCAAGGGAGAACAGGGAGGGAGTCAGGCAGGTGGGAGAGACCCCTGGGCACCCTCCTCACTGCTTGAAAGGACTCGGAGATTTCCCGTTGTCTGGGCCCCTCCAGGACTCCTACGTGGCTTGTGAGGCCCGCTCCAGGTGACCCTGCCAGCCCGTTGACCCGCCCCTCCCATGCTGAGCCGTTCCTGGTATGCTGGCTCCACCGGGCATCTGGGCTTGGTGGTGCTGTGCCCTCCTCGGGGCTCCACTTCTCTGCTTCTGGGATTGGCTTGTCCTCACCTTCCTGCAGGGAGGAGGAGAAACCCAGCATCCCTGGCCTCTCCTGGGAGTGGAATTTTTTTTTTTTTTTTTTCTGTCGCTCAGGCTGGAGTGCAGTGGCATGATCATGGCGACTGCAGCCTCAACCCTCTGGACTCAGGTGATCAATCCTTCTGCCTCAGTCTCCCAAGTGGCTGAGACCACAAGGATGTGCCACCATGCCCGGCTAATTTTTTGATCTATTGTAGAGATTAGGTCTCGCTATGTTGCCCAGACTGGCCTCGAACCCCTGGGCTCAGGCATTCCTCTCGCCTCAGCCTCCCAAAGTGCTGGGATTACAGGTGTGAGCCACCATGCCTGTCTTATTTTCATTTTTATTTTTTTTTTAGAGACCAGGTCTAACTCTGTTACCCAGGCTGGAGGCCAGTGGCATGCTATGGCTGCAGTAGCCTCGACTCAGATGATCCTTCTGGGCTCAGATGATCCTCCTGCCTCAGCCTTCTGAGTATCTGGGACTACAGGTGTGCGCCACCACACCTGGCTTTTTTTTTTTTTTTTTTTTTTTTTTGGTAGAGACAGGTCTCACTATGTGGCCCAGGTTTGTCTTGAACTCCTGACCTCAAACAATCCTTCCGCCTTGGCTTCTCAGATCCTGGGATTACAGGTGCGAGCCACTGCGCCCGGTCTGGGTGCTGTTTTTTAGGAGCTCCTGGTTTTAGGGGTGCAGGGAGGGAGAGATGGGTGAGGTGCTCGGTCATGCTGTTCCAAATGACTCCTCACCCACGAGGGTGCTGAGCGTGGGGCTGCTGTGGACCCGCAAGGGTGCCTGGCGGGGACCTTGTTTCCAGTAGAATGAGAATGTCTTCGTGCGGGGGGGTGAGTCCCGAGACGCTGCTGATGGCCCTGGCCGGGCCCCAGGGGCCCGGGTGATGGCTGCGTCCACCCAAGCAGCACTGGGTGTGTGGGAGGGAAGAGGCAGGGCAGAGCCCCAGCCCACCCCCCTGCAGGCCCAGGGGGGCGGACCCAGCGGGGAGTCATGGGCCACACTCAGCCACACCCACGGTACCGGGAGCCGACCGGCAGATTTCTGGCCATGCCCCCGTGGCCTCTGCTGTGGGGCCCCTGCCTCCCGTGCCCTTCCCGTCCAGCAGCCAGCCAGAGGGGCCAGGGCAGGGCGGCAGGCACGAAGAGGGTCAGAGAGGGTCAGAGAGAGACAGACGGCATCATCCGTGCGTCCTGCCTGTCCTCTGCCCTCTGTCCCTCCCCTTTGTTCCATGCACCAGGCGGTCCTTGGTCGAGACCTGCCTTGTCTGAAACGTGGGTGGGGTGGGGTGCCCCCAGAAGGTGTGGCCAGGCCGGCACCGAGAGGGGACAGGGATGGGCCTGGGCCTCTGGACGACATAGCCACTGTACTTCAAGTGGATCGAGTTCTTTGGGTTTACTTTTCTTTTTTTTAATATAAGAGAGTTTATTTGGGCCAATTGTCATGAGCAGAGCAAGCAGAGATAACAAGTTCCACGCACATCTGTGTCTTTTCAAAACATCAGACTTTAACTGATGCTATTTCAATCTTAAAAGCCACAAGCTATATGGAGTTCCCCAGGAAGCAACTCTCATTAGAACTGATGTCGGGGAGGTATGGTGTGGCTGCTCCATGAGCTCCTGACGTCAC